AAAAAAAAAAAAAAAAAAAAAAAAGAACTTGCCCCCAGCCTGTGATTACAAATAAGCTCCATGGAGTGTGACTAACCCTAACTGAAGAAATCACTACTGTAATGGAGAAATGGCTGGACTAGGAGATTTGAGTTCAGTACTGCTGCTAAAGCTTCGTAAGTAGTTTTGTAATTATGGACGAGTAAGCCAGTTGACAGCTCTGAGCTTTCTCTTGTGTCGGGGAGGGGAATGGATGAATTGATCTGCAGAATTTTCTGAGTTAATCTGTAGAACATGTGCCCAGTGAGCACAGATGTGCCCAGAACTTCTCACGGCTACCTCACATCCTGGCCAAGTGTTACTACACCACCAGCTAAGCCATGACACGTGGTGCCGTGAGAAGAGAAGGTGCACCACAAGCTAACACCATTCAGATTCTTGGTTTTTTCTAAATTTGCTTCAATTTAAATCTGCCAAGGGACTTTTTTTAGACTTTCTGTGAACAGTTATTTTGGGAGCTGATGGAGAAAAGATTAAGACAGGGTGGTATCCTTTGCTTCTGTAGGGAACAAAAGAATGGGTTACATTTTTGCTTGCTTCCTTATGGAGTTAAATACAATGAATGATTCAGCTACTGGAAGAAAAATGTCTTACTTTCAAGCCTTCAGTTAACCTGCTTATCAACTGTCAGTTTTTACTTGACTAAAGAATGCCAGTCTTTATTCATTTATTTATCTATTTATTTTGGTAGCGGGGATTGAACTCAGGTCCTTGTGCTTGCAAGGCAGGCGATGGAACCGCTGAGCTAAATCCCTGGCCCAAGAATGCCAGTCTTTTTTTGTAAGTCCGATGTGCTAATGTGAGAAAGTGCTGTTTACATTCCAAATCGTTTGAATCTAACTTTCAATTAAAGAGCATTAGATGAGGTTTTTTGTCCATTTCAGGTAATTTTGGTTTGCTTCTTCACAGAGTTTTTTGTTGGTTTGGTTTGGGCAGTACTTGGACTTAAACTCAGAAGCACTCAATTATAATCCCTAGCCCTTTTTAACTTTGAATTTTATTTTTTTGGTACCGGGGATCAAACTCGGGACCTTGCGCTTGCAAGGCAAGCAGTGGAACAACTGAGCTAAAATCCCCGGTCCCTAACTTTGAATTTTGAGACAACATCTCACTAAGTTGCTGAGGCTGGCACTGAACTTGTGATCTTCCTACCCCAGCCTCCTTAGTAGCTGGGAGTAAAGGCAAGTATCACCTCACATAGTTTATTCAATAGCTACTTATTGATGATTTACTAATCGCATATTTAGCAAGTATCTCTTGAGTCTATTACATGCCAGGTACTGTACCAGGTGAACATATATAATACACTAGTTGTGACCTCGTGCTCTTGGGGCCAAGCGTGGTAACACAGAGATGAACAAGAGTCTTCAAGGAGCTGATGACCCTTGTTGGGGAGACGAGACACCTAACTATTACTGCACACAGCATCGAATGAAACTCCCACCACTTCTTATGTTTGTCTTCTTTTTCCAAGATTTCTCTGTCGTCATGCTGAAAGAACTCCCCCAGGTACTCATTGGCTTAGGGTGGCTTTTCTTGAAGCAGCTACAAGTTTAAAAGCACCTTTAATGATACTCATACCATTGTCATCAAATTGCCATCCAGTAAGCCTCGCTTCTTGCAAAACAGTTAACTTGGATAACACATGGCCAAGTTTTCTGACTAAGGCCGCGTCTGATAAAGTTGCTTCAGTACTGAAGTCAAAAATACTAATTGCTTAAGATTCTCACATGCACCCATTAAGGCAAGCCATCCATCACCTCTCACACGGCCTCCCGCCAAATCCAACTGCTGGAAGTTTTTCAGAGGATTCTTTTCAAAAAATGCACCTGGCTAAGGAAAGAAGTATGTTAATTGGAAAAAAATTTTTTAAAGAAAAATAGGTTCCCATTTTGAAATGTCTGTTTTCTGGAGCAGTGCTGAGCTCCTCAGGAAGAAATCAGAATTTCGTACAGATAGACTGTGAATAATGGCCCGTTACATTTTACTCTTAGATTTTTTGGGGGCGGGGGGTACCGGGGATCAAACTCGGGTCCTTGCGCTTGAGAGGCAGGAGGCAGAACCGCTGAGCTAAATCCCTGGCCCCTTTTATTTACAAAGTGTATCTTTCCTAAAGTACAAGGGAGTCTGATAAAGAGTAATTGGTAGTAGTGTACCAAGCAAATATAAATGAATTACATTTTCTCCTTTTTCTCAGTCTTCCAGGCAGTGGACAGCACTTTGAAAATTGAGGTGTGAGAAAATGCTATTAAATATTGCTACTTTCCAACTGGGGTCAAACATAGGAGATACTAGGTCCTTTCCTCTCTGGAGATGTAAACCCTACCTCGTGTATCTTTGAGTGAGCATTGTGCCTAAGTGTAAACTGAAGTAAACGAACCTCTTTCGGTATCCAAAGATTTGAGTGTTTTTGTTTGTTTTAATCCTCCCTAGCCTCTTCGGGAAGTTTCTCAGGAACTAATGGCGAACTCCCTCAGTGGGAGGCTGGATATCATGTGTCCTTGGTGTCCTGTTACATAAAGAATGGAGAGTGTTCATTCCCACATCCCCATAGGCTTAGATGGGTATCAGAACTCAGGTGAGTCTTAACAGTAAGAGACAACATCTCTCATGTTGTATACCACTCCGCATATTGGCCATTATGTGCCCTTAGTTCATATAGCTCCTTATGAACGAGGTGCCTTAGGTTTGGCATGTTAGTCCTGCCCTCTCCCCTGCCCTTTTCTGGTTTTTTGTTTTTTGGGGTTTTTATTTTTTTATTTTTTAGTTTTTTGAGACAAGGTCTCACTGTATAGTTGAGACTGACCTGGAACTCACTATGTAACCCAGGCTGATCTCGAACTCACAGTGATCCTCCTACCTCAGCCTCCCAAGTGCTGGGATTACAGGCGTGAGCCACCATGCCCAGCCTGCCCTTTTCTGGATGACCAGCACAGGGCAGACAGTCTGGCACACAGAAGGGAACTCCGATGGCTGTATGTTTGTACTCAGCTGTTGCCACCAATTACAAGAAAATGTATGTGTCTCATTTAAGACCCTTGTTACCCATAGTCAAAAGACAACAGCCCAAGAGTTCAAGTTCAAGGAAGAAGGCTCAGTGCTACGTGACCTGTGTTAAGGTCAAGAAGAAAGACTAAATGCTGCCTGCCAGTAGTAATGAAGGCTTTAGCACAGGAGTGGTGGTTCTTGTCTGTCCAGCGTATGGTAGGCTGAGGTCAACCCAGGAATACGCACAGACTGTGTACCCTTACCCACTTTCAGTGTCAGTGGTGACCAACGATCTGGTTTTAGGGTCAGGTGTCACTGGTTTTGTGTAGTTTTCTCATTGCAAGAAAAATACATACAGCGCTACCTCCACATGTGTTCAGTCGTCCTCTCATCACCTTCCAATGGTGTGGAGTTTAGAAAGCTCTTTGGGTTCTTCTCAGAGACGAGTTGAATGGGCCCTGCCTGACCCTGGCCAAGGTACTGATGACGAAGGCGGGAAATGCCAAGTGAGGAAGGAGGGTGTTCGCAGGGTTGTGTCTCCTTGACGTCATGATGTGCGCTTCTTGCCACCAAGGCCATCTTTGGCCCTCGTTTCTCCGCTGATTTCCTTGAGAAGCACAACAGACTGCTAGTGGCTCCCCAAGTCCCTCTCTCCCTGTTCCGTCCAGTTTCATCTGGGTCTATCCCAGCCTAAATTTTTGCCAAAGAAATGGGCACAGAAGCAATGAGTGCAACTTGTGTGTCACTTCGGGGGGTGCTGCTGCCCTTCCACATTTCCCTCTTCTGCTGGGTTTGAAGGTGCACATGGCAGCAAGCTAGCTATGACTCTGAAGCCCAAAATAAAACTCTCAAGGAGTAAAGAAGTTGGTTTCTGGGCCTGAAAGGCTGTACTGTTATCCAGATGGAAGTAAAGCTGTGTCTTCTGTCAGCCGTGGTGCAGGCGGTGGGCCTTTGCTGTACCTGTGTAACTGGTACACGGCTCTTCACTTTCTCCTGTCCTCTTTCCCACAGGAGCACTCTGTTCTCATAGCATGGCTGTTTCCCTGCTCTCACACTGCATGTTCATGTCCTTTCTGCCTTTGCCTCTTCTCCACGTGCTGGCTGCCATAGGTGCAGGCTGAAGTCTTCTGGGAGGGGCAACTTCCTTTCTCCTCAACTAGCACAACAGAATTCACCACCTAACAAGAATTTAAAGTATGTAAAGCCCATTCAACCCTCAGGAGGTGAGCTATTGGTTTATTTATTTAGGTAGCAGAAGCAATGAGCTAAATCCCCTTCCCCAAGGTGAGCTATTTCTTTTTCCAAGGTGAGCTGTTTATACTGCCGTCCTGCTGAGGTACAAGGACCTTAGTTAGCTTCTTGGATAATTATTACAATGTGTGCAAGCACAGGAACCAAGAACAAGCAATACTTTCCATAATTCAAAGGAAGCCTCTTGTTCATTGAATCTGCAATGCTTTCGTTATCACGCGGAGAAAACCAGATGTGTGAGAAACAACCACGACACAGATGTTGGCTGTGCGTGGACTGGGAGAGTGCAGAGGGCTTCATTCAAATTCCAGACAAAATCTCCAGCACTGAGTGTGTGTGGACTTCTGCAGGTTCTTGTATGCTAAAGAAAACTCTTAACACTGCATTGCCCTATAGTTCACCTGAACTAGCAGCGGAGCTCTTAACTCAGCTTTCATTCATTCCACAAACACTGCAAGCCTGTAATATGTCATGGATAGTGTTTGGTGCTGGGGTCCCTGTCTTCTTGGGCTTACAACATAGTGTGAAGCCAACCAACACTAAAATTAGATGGGCCCCAGGGTGCCGCAGTGGGTGAGGGTGGAGGGAGAACACAGAAACAACAGGCTCTCTAACCCTCATTCCCAGAACATGGGCAACTCAACCTAGTTGCTCCAGGGGGAAAATGAGGTTTCTTAAGAGAAAATGAACTGCCTCCCAAAAAAACGGCCCTACGAAGAGCTATGTCTCTCATCGGATCACCCCATAGTGAAGTTAACCAATCAAAAAGCCACCCTTCCCCTCAGACACAGAGCTTCCAATCAACTGTGCCTTACTCTAAACTGTGAGGAAGATAGTACAGGATCACCAGACATCTGCCGGCAGCACCCAACAAAGAAAGCCCCAAAAACGAGACTCTTGGGCTGGGGCTGATACCCAACTTGGCAAAAAAAATGAGGTGCCTTCATCTGTTGTGAGGGGCTCCTATCTGGCAGGGGCCTCTTACTGTGTCACCCCCAGGGCAGAACAAAAAGAGGGTGAGAGAACACAGCTGAAACTCACCTGAAGCCTCTCTACAGTCAGTGTGGATCATTCGGGAGGTGGCGCCCTCAGGACCTAAAACAACTCCCAGTTGCACCTCGCCTCCCATCACTCCTTTGGATTAAGTTTACAACACATACCTTTTGGGCAACACATTCAGACCATCTGCATGAGGCAATATAGGAAACAAGGAAGGCACACGGTGGCGCATGCCTGTAATCCCAGCCCTTGGGAGGCTGAGGCAGGAGGCCTCGGCTGCAGAGTCCAAGGCCAGCCTGAAATGCATAGCAAGACCCTGTCTCAAAGAAAACAAGAAAAAAAACCTTTGAAAACCCTTTTTCAGAGACCCTAAAAAGTTATGACAACCACTTAACAAAAATAAGGTGCTATTTTTTTTTCCTCCAGTACAGGGGATTGAACCCAGATACTCTGGCTGAGCTACGTTCCCTGCCCTTTTGGCTTATTTTGTTTTTTAATTTTTTGAGATGGTCTCACAAAGTTGCCCAGGCTGGCCTCAAATTTTCGACCCTCCTGTGTCAGTTTCTATAGTAGCTGGGGTTACAGTATATGCACCAGATCCAGCTGCTTTACACTGTTTATCATTGTTACACTCTTATGTTTATTTGGTTCATTTTATGACTTCTTAAATTAGCAACATTAATTTTTCAGCCTTTTTTTTTTTTTTGCACATTTAAGGCTGTGAGCATTTCCTTCAAGCCCTGCTTTTTCTGTGTGCCACAAGTTTTGATATATAATATTTTCTTAGCATTGGGGTTCTAAACATTTTTTGTCAAAGCTTGCCAGTGTCAACTTGTTTTTGTGACAAATCCTGTGATTCCCAACCCCCAGTAACCTGAGCGCAGGTGCAAAAGACAAACCCGAAGAGCACCCAGGCTTGGCATTTCGCCAGGAAAGCACACCCCACCTGCTGTAGTTTGTTTCGTGCCTCACGTCTCAGTCTCCTTGCGTCTCCTTGTGAGGTCTGTCTTTAATTAGAGGCTCCATCTCTCATTACGCCCTGCTTTGATTGTTACCTCAAACACCCACGTCCTTCTCCTCGTCACTACCTAAACCGACGGGCAAGCCTGTGGGCCAGGTGAGTCTCAGCCCCTGGGGTGAGAGTGTCTGCAGGCTGGAGGCGGGCATCTGAAGGAGAGGGTAAGGGAATCCACAGTAGTGGGATTAGCGGACCAAAGTGACGCAATAGAGCCGGTGAGTAGGGACGGGGAACACAGGAGGTCCCCGTCTGAGCGCAGCACGTCTGGATTCAGTGTCGTGGAGGTAGCTGGGTGGAGAGCGCAAGTTTATAATCTCAGCTACCGAGAAACTTGAAGCAGAAGATTCCTAAATTCAAGTCCAGCCTAAGCCACTTAGTGAGACTCTGTCTCATAATATAACAATTTTTAAAAAGAGCCTGAGGAATAGCTCAATGGTAGAGCCCCTTAGAGATGAAGACACCTCATGACCTCATTTGGGTGGGGCGGGGTGTCTTTTGTTTTGTTTTTTTCAGCGCTGGATATCAAACCCAGCTGGGGCGTGTGTGTGTGTGTGTGTGTGTGTGTGTGTGTAGTTGCTGTAGTTCGAACATCTACAAAGTGGAGGGGTGGGCAGGTCTGTCTGTGTACAGTACCGCTGCACCTACCAGCTTCAGCCTGCAGCCCCTGGAGGTTTCCGGAAAGGCAGGAAGCTCTCACAGAAGCTGGCCGGACTGCAGGGGGAGCCCTTGTCTCTCACTGTTCAGCGTTGGCCTCCAACCCCGCCGATGACTGTTTACCTCTGGGAGGTGGAGGACTTGGCCAAGGGAAGCGGGCTCTTGCACTCTTGCCTTTCCTCAGTTCTTTTTATATCTCCAGCCCTTGTTCCTGCTATAGTCTGGCGACCTTTTCACGTTCAAACCTCTTTGTAAAACCAGGGATAGTAATGGTTATCTTTATAGAGATAGAACGGTAATTTGACACATTTTTAAATATTTGAGAATAAATTACTACTGAGTTGTTTTCACTCTTATTTTATTTAATTTATTTATTATTGGTAACAGGGATTGAACTCAGGACCTCAAGTGTTCCACGCAGGCACTGTGCCACTGAGTTACATCTCTAGCATCTTGTATTTTAGAGTATATCATTACAGCTTCATTTTTAGGAATCAGATAACTTCTGTTTATTTTACTCATTCACAAATGGAGTTTTATCATGCACTAGGAAAGTAAAGTCAAATAGTGAATTATTGCCAGTCTCAATTCTCTCCCCCCCGCCTCTCCCTCTCTCCTCTCTTCCTGAGACAAGGCTTCATTATGTAGTCCAAGCCGACCTCAAATTCACTATGATCCTCCTGCCTCAGCTTCCTCAGTGCTGGTGCTGGTGCTGGGATTACAGTCATGGGCCACCATTCCTGGTTCAGTTCTTATTTCATTAAACATCCCATGTCCTTCCCTAGTCTCAGTGGCTAGCTTCAGGAGTGGGTGAAGTAGGCAGCTGTCTACTTAGACTTGAAAGATGCTGAAAGCCCCCTGCCAAAAAGTGCCTCCCCAACATGTATGCTAAATCTAGGCACCCTCAAGGGACTCCCTGGAAAGTCACATTCTTTCCAGCTCACTTAAGGTATGAGGTTACCTGCCAGGGATTCTTATTAGCTAGCTAATCAGTCTGTCACAGAACCACCTGCCTCCAATACCACTGAGAATAGAAGGGCCTGAGGGAATGTCACCCAATGTTATTGCCTTTATGTAGATGTCCCCTCAAAGCCTAACGCAGTCATAGGTGGGACTTTTGGGAGGTGGCTGGATCTAGGGTATGTGAATGTGTTTGTGGGGGGTGTGATACTGAGGTTAAGGGTGTGTAGTCACCAAATTAGTCCACTGATTGGTTCAGCACAGTTCTGGGTGTGGAGAATGGGAAGGCCCAGCCTGGGTGTGGGAGGCACTAACCAAAGGCTGGTAGCCTGGTGGGGCCAAAGGAAAAGGGAGGCCTTGCTGCCTTGCTGCTGCTGCTTCCTGCCCACCCTGCCAGAGGCTGTCTCTCCTCTGCCTCGGAGCCAGCTGACTGTGGACGGAAACCTCACAAACCGTGAGCTAAAATAAACCTTTTCTCCTTCAACTTTGGGTGTCAGGTATTTTTGTCTCAGCAACAAGAAAATGAAGACCCCCGCGGTATATGATGTGATGGGTGAGAAGGACTGGGGGAGAGGGAAGTGGAGTTAGGAATTAAGAGAAAGAAAGATTCTGAAGCACCATGAGGGAAGGAAAAGCCCTTGGACAGCCTGAGGACTAGACGTAAGCATTTCCAAAAGAGAAGGTGGCAAAAGGAGCAGCAGATAGGAGTTAATATTTAATGGGTACAGAAATTCAGATAAGGAAGATGAAAAATTCTGGAGGTTAATTTTGGTGATGGTTGCACAGTAATGTTGAAATATACCACTGAACCATGCACTTGAAATGGTTAAAACCACACATTTTATGCGAACTAAACACATTCTAAACAATCTGTTAGGGAAATTAAGGCAGCTGAGAGCTTTCGCCTCGGGCAGTGATAGCCTCCAAGATGATCAAAAGGAAAATGACCAGTGCTGACCTTCCAAGGCTAGGTCATAGAAAGCACCGTAGCTCTCAACTACTACTTCTTGGATCCCATCCTTTGGGGGAAATTAGCTGCCATGTTGTGAGGACACTCAGCCCGCCTGTGGAGAGGTGTGGTGCTGGGGAACTGAGGCCTCCAGCCAATAGCTAGCATTAACCTGCTGACCACATCAGGAGCCTCCTTAGAAGCAGGTCCTCTAGCAGCCCCTGCCATCTTCCAACCTGCCATTTCGTGAGGGAGCTGAAGAAGAATCACCTGGCTAACCTACTCCCAAATGCCTGACCCACAGAAATTGTGAAATAATGATTATTGGTTTAAGCCATTATGTTTTGGGATGATTTGTTTCAGGTAAGTTGCTAACAAGGAAAGACAGTGCTGAAACCTTTCATCAGCTCTTTGTGGTTCATCGTTTTCTGTATTACATCACCACTGCTTAAAGATACTCTGTGACTCCAATTAGACACACCTGCTTTTGCCTTTGCTGATTTTGAACGCCCAGTAACTTGACTTAGAAAATATTTCCTGTCGTTGGAGGAACATTGCTGAATTTCAGAGAGTTATGGCCCAGATGAACAATAGTATAGTATACTTTTCAGGTACCGTGGCTGATTTTCCTTTAAGTCTGTAGGCTAAAGGTGTAAAAACCTGAAAGAAGGCCACTGGATTTTTTTTTTTTTTTTTTTTTTTTGTACTGGAGATCGAACTCGGAACCTTGTGCTTGTGAGGCAGATGGCAGAACCACTGAGCTAACTCCCCCCCCCTTGAAGGTCACTGTTTAAATATTCTTACTCGTTAATATGTGTTAATGCTCTTTAAATGTATTTTTCTTTAAAGAGGAGATAAGGTAAAGGAACAAAACAAATAAAGCCAACAGAAGACCAGTTTTAGGGCCAGCTTCTTTTGTCTTGGCTTGGTGTGTACCTACCTAAAATTCTAATCTCTGCCTCTGTGAGTCTCCAGTTTCTCAAGCCAAGCTGGACGAGCTGTGGGACCCCTTCAGTTGCACCAACAGGCTGGTCAGGCTGAAGCACACACTGCGGTACCAGGGTAGCACCAGCAGTGAGCTGTTCCAGGATGCTGAGCCTGCCAATTTGGAGAAACAGAGCGCACTTCAGGAAACAGGTCATCCCCAAACTGCTGAAGGATGAAGGGATGGGGAAAGAAATGGTCTTTATGTTTGACGGCTCCACAGCCTGTTCATTTTGTGCTGAGAATCTGTTTTGCTGTTTTATGGGCCATCCTGCAACACACATGAGCACTGTGCAGAAGAGTGTGAGGAAACTACTGCAAAAGGTAAGTTAGGTACCTTGTAGGCAGTGAGACAGGGCCGCCCTCCAGGAGCCAACACAGCAAGGACCTGGAGGACAATCAAGACATTCACTGAAGGCCTGAACTGTAAAAGGAGAGAAACTACTACACCCTGTGCTTTCCCTAGGGATAAATAGCAATGATTGATATTCTAGACAGGTATTGATCACCTGGGTGAGGGGCCAAGGTCTTAACCCAGCCTTTCCAGGAAGTATCCCTGACCCCCACCCAACCTTACTGAAAATCCTTGTCCGCTTGCCACGTGACTTGCTCCCCATTTGACCCCATTTAATCAACCTTACCTGGGTGACTGTACTTGTAATCTTACTGGTTGGTCATGGTTTTGCCCCACCTCATGCGCACCGTGTAATTGTTCATTGGGTCTTATAGTTCTGTCCCACTTTGTACCCTCCTCACCACAGGGCTTTGCTATATAAAACACCTTTGAAAAGTAAGGTAGGTGGGGCAACGCACTTTCTGGTCCTCTTTCTGTCTCTCTTAGACAGAAACTTATCTTCCTTCTCTAAATTTTTCCTACTCTTAACCTCTGTTGTTCCTAGAATTCATTCTTCGATTTTAGAGAACACAAACTCGGTTTCGGATACCTAGCAGGTTTGGGAGTTACATCTCTTCCCCCATATCAAAACTATAGTCTATGTAATAATAACCCAATTTTCAGCAAACAGCAAATCATGGGCAGGCTCGCTTAATCCTGACCTGATTCCCCTTGTATTATTCTAAAGCAAATTCAAAACATAGGCATCAGTTCACATATCACTGTCATACAGTGAAAGTCTTATCACCGATTCCCTAAGTAAATTCATCTAACAGTCGCAAGCTTCCTTGAAGGAGGTATTCAATGCACATATGAGAACTGGTGACTCAGAAGACCTGAGTCTTGAGGATAAGAGCTGTTTAAGAAAGCTCTAACAGCTTTCTCTTTTCCAGCTGCATCTGGTAAGGCACTCATGGCTATGAGACACCCTGGCTCAGGCTGTTTTTTCTAACTACCCACTATATATATTAAAGTATGTGAGTTGTCATTCTTACTCAGTTCATACAGAGCATCATTTCCATCCTTTTCAAAGTAATTTTCTGATAAATCAAGAATGCTCTGGGAGCCGGGGATTTAGCTCAGTGGTTCCACCCCCTGCCTCGAAAGCACAAGGACCGGAGTTCGATCCCGGGTACCAAAAAAGAATCCTCAGTTTGACCAAATTGTGAAGATTCTGAGCTGGGGAAAAAAATGTTAAAAAAAAAAAGATTTTCAGGCAACTATATGCATTTTTAAGTACCCTTACAAGAATTCCAAATCTCTTCTTTGCTGATGGTAACACAAACTCATTTGACTTGGCCAACATCATCATTACCAAAGATACACTACTCGGGGAGGTATAACCCACTGCCGTCATGTCCGTGACCAAGTGGCCTGTCCTGAGTTCTGATTAGGTCGCATGTAGTGCAAAGCAGCATGAGAGAGTTGTGTGATCACCACGGGAAAGTCACTCCTCTCTGACTCTCTGGGTCTTTGTCTACAGAACGGAGTGGTTGGATTAGGTGAACTCCGAATTAAAAAATGTGCTTAATCATGCACAAGAAACAGTGGAACAAAAACAGATGAGATGAGTTGTTTTTGTGCGCTTCAGCTTAGATTATTTTGTTGATGCCATAGTTGTGAAGTTAATAATAAAAACATTAAAAAAGGGGGGGATTGAAAAAATAGCAAAATGTCAGGTGCAAATCCAGCCATTTCAATAAGTACCTTCGATGTAAATGGACTGAACACTCCAGCTGAAAACAGCTAATTGGAAGGATTTCTTTTTTCCCCCTCCCTTGAGGATTGAATTTAGGCTCTTGTACATATTAGGCAGGAACTTTACTGCTGAGCTTCACCCCAGCCCCTGTTTTTTGTTGTTTGTTTTTGAAGCAAGACCAACTCTGCTTCCTTCCTTCCTTCCTTGCTTGCTTTTGGTCTTACTGGGAATTGAATCCAGAGGCTGCACCCTGAGCTACATCCCAGCCCTTTCAAAATTTTGAGATAGGGTCTTGCTAAATGCCTAAATTGCCCAGACTGGGCTCTAACTTGCCATCCTCCTGCCTCAGCCTTCAAGGAAGCTGGGAATACAGGGGTGCATCCCCACACTCAACAAGAAATGTATTTCGAAGACAAAGACAAATATGTTGAGGTAAAAAAATACAGAAAACTATTCTATTCTTCATGCAATCATCCAGCGGCATCACTCTAGCTAAGAAATGCTTACTTATTCACTTCATGTATTTCTCATACTGCTGAATGAAGCTGAAGTTTTTCCTATCAAGATTACTTGAGCCGGGCATGGTGCCGCATGCCTGCAATCCCAGCACTCGGGAGGCTGAGACAGGAGGATCGCTATAAATTCGAGACCAGCCTGGGCTACATAGTGGGTTCCAGGTCAGTCTCAGCTACATGGTGAGACCCTGTCTCAAAAAACAAACAAAAAAAGATTATTTGATAGAGGGGCTTGGGATTTAGCTCAGTGGTTTTGCCACCTGCTTTGTAAGTACAAGGTCCTGAGTTCAATTCCCAGTACCAAAGGGGAAAAAAAAATCAGACAAGGTTCTCATGAAAATATACATTTGTTCTTTTCATTTGTAAGCTGTGCTTTACCATTCCTGTGTTCCCAGTATTAGTCTAACCCTTTCAAATCATGGGTTCTCTACCTGTAAATTTATATTAATCATTTCCTTGGAAATCTTTATGGGCTTCTAGCAGATTGAGAGTCTCACAGCGTTTTTCCAAAGTCTAAATTTTAAAACAATCTGAGTAGAATAGTTTATCCAAAAATATGGAGAGAGGCCTCCGTATTTGGTACTCATACCCTTTGGGGATTATGTTTATACATATTAACTCCATCTTTTTGTTTTTGTTTTGTTTTTTGAGACAGGGTCTCACTATGTAGTTGAGACTGACTTGGAACTCACTATGTAACCCAGGCTGATCTCGAACTCACAGTGACCCTCCTGCCCATATTAACTCCATCTTTTTGTTTTTGTTTTGTTTTTTGAGACAGGGTCTCACTATGTAGTTGAGACTGACTTGGAACTCACTATGTAGCCCAGGCTGGTCTCAAACTCACAACAATGCTCCTGCCTCGGCCTCCTGAGTGCTAGGATTATAGGCTTGCGCCACCACGCCTGCCTTTATTAACTCCATTTTAACAAGGCACTGGATAAGAATCTGCCTGAGCAGATTTAAAGAAATCTGTGCTTTACAGTCTCTGCTTCACAATCATTTATCCAGTCATCCAAATATTATTAGGCAATAATTATGTGACAGGAAGGGTGGCAAATTTTAAGCATGTTTTTTTTCTGAACAATATTTATTTTCTTCATCTTTATCTTTTAAAAATGTCAACTATTTTACATTTCTCTCCTATCATCCACTAATAATTAATTTTAATTCTAATCATGGAGAAAACCCATTAAAAACAGGCTAGATATTACCTAAACATCTTTATTGTCTTTTCTAGTTAAATTTGGATTAAAATTAAATTTCCCGGGCCAGGGATTTAGCTCAATGGTGCCACTGCCTGCGTCACAAGCACAAGGTCCTGAGTTCGATTCCCAGTACCAATAAATAAACGTTCCTCTGAGAAATTTAGTGTGCATTAGTATGAAAGTATCACACGTTCTCATTCAGTTAACGGAGGAAATGGTTACCTACAGGCAGCAGGAGACTGTATTTCTTGGAGGTCACAGGGTTCGCCTGACAGACTTTACTGTGTAATGCATTCCCTCTCCAATATCTGACTAATGCGTCAAAAGAAATCAGCAGTTTCTTTTTTTTGTTTGTGTTTTTTTTTGGTACTGGGGATCGAACTCAGGACCTTGTGCTTGTGAGGAAGGCGCTGGAACCACTGAGCTAAATCCTCGGCACAGTTTCTCTGAGCTGCAAAAAGATTGAAAGGAGATATGTAAGAGAGCAGAGGAGAACTGAGCCCTGATTGGCCTCCTCTGAGAGCACACAGGAGGAAGGCTGCACTTGGGGATTGCGTAGCGCAGGTTCTAGGGAAAGCTTAGGACAGCTGAGGTTAAGTTGTTTACCTGAGCGTGTGCTAATGCATGCTGGAAAGCAGACCGATCTTGTGTTACTTTTTTGTTTTGTTTTGTTTTTTGGTACCGGGGATCGAACTCGGGACTTTGTGCTTGCGAGGCAGGTGCCAGAACCGCTGAGCTAAATCCCCAGCCCCCTTGGGTTACTTTTGATGGCTTGCACCCGTGTTTGGGTGAATAAAGGCAAGATAAGCCAGATGGTAGGGGCTTTTCTAACCACTGAGAGGCAGAGAACAGGCTGCCCCGTTAAACGGACTCTGTGCCTCTATCCTCCATCCTTCTTCACCCTCGTATCTGAGAGAACAAGGCGTGGATGTAGGACCCGGAACAAGGACAACCGGATGGGTCAGCTACAGTTGGCACCCGCCTGGGGCTCAGGACCCGGGCTGGGCGACAGAGACACTTTAGGGTGCCGAGTGAATTTAATTGACGAATGGGCTGAAAAGAAACCAAAGAAGAACTGCTCCTAGACCTCAAGTTTCAAAGGGTTTTTCTTGAAACTCTCACTTTCCAATCTTCCAGACCATTCAAAAGCCACTTACGTGCTGTCATTCTCACAGGAGCACAACAAAAACTATAGTAGATATTTCGCCTTGTCAATGGATACCAGTGTGTACTCGTCCTGTAACTTTTTTCATAGTTCTTCTAGAAACCCTCTCCTCTTAGTCCCCTCAAAAGTTCAGGGAGAAGTCTGAGGCCAGAGGGGCAGTAGGGAGACCACAGTCTCTCGGAGTGCAACCGTCTGCGGCCCCAAGGAGTCCAGCTTGGGACTGCATGTCGGGGGCAGCCGTGCAGACTTACAATCAAGACTACGCTAATGTGGCACGTTTGACCAGGTGAAAGATTTATCTACGTCAACCAGAAACATCCTTAAATGTTCTAATTCTTGGGTATTAAAGTTAATGTAGGGCCGGGGATTTAGCTCATTGGTGTCACTGCCTGCCTGGCAAACACAAGGGCCCAAGTTCTGATCCCCAGTACCAAAAAACAAAAACAAAAAAACCAATAAAGTTAATGTAGAATCTAGGGTTAATTAGGTATAGCTCTGTCATTAAAATATTTCTAATCTTTTTTCTGTTTGTTTGTTTGTTTGTTTGCTTTTGAGACAGGGTCTCATCACTATATAGTTGAGACTGACCTGGAAGTCGCTGTGTAGCCCAGGCTGGTCTCGAACTCACAGTGACCCTCCTGCCTCAGCCTCCTGAGTGCTGGGATTACAGGCGTGTGCCACCATGCCCGGCTTAAAATATTTCTCATCTTGATGGTACTCATGGAAAGATATACATAGGCGTTTGCTCTGTTTTGCGGTGCTAGGGATCAAACACATGGTCACATACATGCTGAGCAAATGCTTTTCCACTACTGTATTCCTGCAGCCTCTATAGTTTTAATGATACCAACCTTGCAGAGCTTTGAAAAAGTTACAAATGATGCGTGGAACGTTTACAGCATGGTACCTGGCGCACGGTAAACCTTCAATATATATTCATTGCTGTCATAAGGTACATACAGCTTAGAGGTGTGGGCATGAGCTCTGTGGTCATTGTGAATTCTAGATTCACCGCTGAATAATTTTGTAAACTCGAGCAAGTTATTCAGCCTTTAAGCTGTGGCCTCAGGGATCATGACACCCACACACTTGGATGGTTGTGAGGATTCAGTGAGTGAAAGTATGTGAGTGTACCAAGGGAGGTGTATAGCGCATCGCCCATTAATTCTGTAATACGTAGCAAATTATTGTTAATACAATCCGACTGGTTTACTTTTAAGATTTTATTTCTGAAAGGCAGAACCAGACTGCCCTAGAGAGCTACTTTTGACATTTTTCTACCAGTTGGTGAGATCTTGGGCAAGTTAACCATCCTGGGAGTCTAGTCTCAATGTGAAGCCATTTAGCAGCACTCTTAAGTAAAATAAATTGGAAATGTGTAAATATCACATTGTTTCTCTGGTATGAGGGAGCAGAAGTGGAAATAACTAAAATGTATAACAGATATTGGGAAATGGGAAGAAAATGTTCCGATGAGAAGGGAAACAAGGGAGGTGGAAGAAGGGAAGGAAAGAAGAGAAGGAAAAAGACAACAGAAGAACAAAATGGAAACAAAGCTTTTGTAAATAAGAAGGGGAAGAAGATTTGAAGGGCGGTTGGGGAAAAAAGCAAGATCTATCCTGTACAGGTACAAATTCCCTATGATGAATGCTATCATTACGTAAACCTAAAATGTACCAATAAAAGATAAGACATTCTAGGTCACAGTAGATGCTCTACAAATGAATAAATGAAGTAGATATTTTCAGGCTCCTTCAGCTCTGATACTCTGTTTAATTCATAGTTTATTGAATACTGAACTAATGTGATTATTTTCTTAGGGACTATACAGGGAAAAGAGGTCAACAATGCTTTCATTAACGAATACAGTTGCTTTTTGGCAGGAAGCAGAATAAAAAAGAAACAAAGGAAGAAAGAAGCATTTTACTGAGGTCTCAAGCGGAGGGGAGAGAGCGAGGGGAGAGAAGCAGAGACACACTGAGGCACATTCTCAGGAATTCTCTCTGTCCTGGCGGATCTGGATCTCTGTAATTAGCCACGTGTACTCCTATGTTCCTGAGAGTTTCCTTTTTCTTTTTTGGTACTGGGGATCTAACTCAGGACCTTGTGCTTGCGAGGCAAGCACCAGAACCACTGAGCTAAATCACTGGAACTGCCTGAGATTTTTCTTGCTGTCACTTTCTTTTCTGCATCTTATTTCATTCGTGAAGTTTTATGTAGCTTTGAAATCACAGTATAAAATATTTAGATTGTTTCAATGTTTAAAATACAATCATGTCAGTCAGCCATAGAAAGAGAAGTTAAAAATGTGTCGTATTTCTTTTCTCCTCGAAAAAGGATATCACCTAGTGGTGTACAATTTGAATAAAATGATACTAAAGGATTTTAAAGGGAGTTGGACCATGTGACTAATGTGACTATGTGACTAATATAGTCACACAAGTGTGGAAAGACAAGCTTGCCTGTTTGGATGCAGCCAGGGCTATAGGTTTTGTGGCCATTAATCTTGGGTGGCTTGAGAGATGCCTAGGAGATTAGTAAAGCACACTTGTGGGTACGTCGGGGTGGGTCCTGGGGGGGTGGGGACCATAACTGGTCCCTGGCCACTTCCTCTCTGGCTCCTGCTCTGCTCTCTGCTCCCTGGCTGCCATGAGGTGGGCAGCTGTCCTCCGCTGTACCTTTCTGCTATGATGTTTCTGCCTTGGAGCCAGCTGACCATGGGCTGAAACTCCGGGAACCCTGAGTCCAAATAAACCTCTCCTTTAGGTTGCATATGTCAAGAATTTAGTCTCAGCAGCAGAAAGGCAAGCTAACCATTGTTATCATACTTACATTAATAAAAACATGATAGAAAACAAAAATCTGACCTAATTCTATAGCATCTTCTTCATTCATCTTCATGTTATCCAGTATCAGCTTCATAAGTTACCCAAGCCACCAGTCAGACCACCTGCCAAAAGGAAAAAGATTAGTGTGTGAAGAACTGACACAGCTGCTACTTAGTACCTATTGTCATTTCTATTTTTTTTAAGAGTAGGTAAAATTTATTGAGGGAAAGAAAGCTTCTAAGAGAGACAGAAGGGGGACCAGAAAGTGGGCTGCCCCTTATTGTCATTGCTATTACCAATCAAAAGATTTCAGTTATCACCATGAACAAGAAATGCACATGAAATTGACACAAAATATATTTTTAATTTAAAATTAATTTTATTTTTTTGAGACAGGGTCTTGCTAGGTCGTTCAGGCTGGGCTTGAATTCACTGTGTAGCCCAGATTGGCCTCAAACTCATGGGTATCCTCTTGCCTCAGCCTCCTGATGGCTGAGATTACAGTCATTCACTCCCATATCTGGCAAGAAAAATGTATTTTTAAGTTAAGAATATTTGCAGTACTTAGTTATGAGCAAATTCTACAAATAGAATGGAATTAGACTAGACACCCAGAACAGAAAGAATCAGAGAAATCTACACGTTTTGAAATAAAGTGAATGCCTCTAAACAACCATGAGTGAAAGAGGAATTCTCTTGGGAATTATACTATATCTTGAAAGATGCAGAAACAAAGATAAAATGGATAATAAGGTAACAAAGTACATAGGGGGAGATTTATAGCATTAAGTACCTATAATTAGAATTGAAGACAGGTCTCAAGTCCATAACCTGAGCTTCATACAGAAGAGATCACAGAAAGGAGAGTAGAATAAATCCAGTGCAAGGAAAAGGAAGGAAATATTAATAAAGTATAAAAATCTGGGGCTGGGGATTTAACTCAGCCTTTCTTTTAAGTGCAAAGTCCTGAGTTTGATCCCCAGTACCCCCCCAAAATCAATAAAATTACAAACAAATAAATAATAGACTGCAATAAAACAAAAACTTAAATCTTTGGAAAGATCAATAAAATTGATAAATTTCTAGCAAGAATGAAAAAAGAAGAGGATACACAAATTACCAATATCAAAAATGAAAAGATAGGTTATCACAACAGACACCCACAGATATTCAAAGAACAACTAGAAAATAATATGAAAAGTTGGGCGTGGTGGCGCACCCCTGTAATCCCAGCACTCAGGAGGCTGAGGCAGGAGGACTGCTGTGAGTTCGAGTCCTGCCTGGGCTATGTAGTGAGTTCCAGGTTAGTCTCAACTACATAGTGAGACCCTGTTTCAAAATTAAAAAAAAGAAAAGAAAATATATAAATAAGTTAGACATTTTGTGTGAAATGTCCCAATTTCTCAAAAACTACAAACTACCAAAAACAATAGCCAAAGCAATCCTGAGGAAAAAGAGCAATGCTGCAGGCATGGCAATATCTGATTTCAAAATTACTACAGACACCAGGCATGGTGGAAAAATCCTGTAATCCCAGAATTTGAGAGGCTGAAGCAGAACGATTACTGTGAGTTTGAGGTCAGCCTGGGTACACAATGATTTCAAGATCAGCCTGAACCACATAGTGAGACCCAGTCTCAAAAAAATAAAAAATTACTATGAAGCCATTGTAAGAAAAATGGCATGGTATCATCATAAAAGTAGACACATAGACTAACAGAAGAGTACAAAGGGCACATGCATCTACAGCCATCTGATTCCCAAGAACGGAGCCAAAAACACACTGGAGGAAAGACAGTCTCTTCTACAAATGCTTCTGGGAAAACTGTACATCCACCTGTGGAAGACTGAAACTGGATCGCCATCTCTCACCCTCTACAAAAATCAACTCAAAATGGACCCAAGAGCTTATTGTAACACCTGAAACTGTAACTACTACAGAAAAACATGAGAATCACATGAAGATATTGGTATAGACAGTGATTTCCTGACTGGGACTCCAATTACTCAGGAAATAATGGAAGAGTTGACAAATAGGATTATATCAATTTTTTTGTTTGTTTTTTGGTAACGGGGATTGAACTCAGGACCTTGTGCTTGAGAGGCAGGCAGCGGAAACAGTGAGCTAAATCCCCAGCCCAGTATCATACCAAATTTAAAAGCTACTACATGGCAAAGGAAGCAGTCAAGAGTGAAGAGACAGTGTACAAAATGAGAGAAAAACTGGGAGAAAATCTTTGTGAGTTAGCCTTCTGACAGAAGATTAGTATCTACACTATATAAAGAACTTGAAAAACATAAATGAGAGAAAACCAGAGCACATGACTTAGTCGGTGATTGTAAGACCCTCTTGTCCATATTGATAGGCAACGAGAAAACCAGTAAGTGTAGAGAACATTTGAATAGTGCTGTCAAACAAGGTGACTTGATTGGCGTTTGCTCCAACTCACCCTTTTCAAGTGTGCATAGAACATTTTCCATGATAGATCATTTTTTGGACAATAAAGCAAGTCTTAACATTTTATAAATGACATCATATGGATAATAATGCTGCTTGAATGACTCAACAATTATGTCCAAAATATGATTACAGGTCATTTTTTTATTGCCTCAGTAGGAGTCCCTAACTCTAATGCCACAGATCTTTGTTTTTGGACTGGCTCATTAACTAAATATGTTCAAGTGGTTATTCTTTTATTCTTTTTCTTTTTTGGTACTGGGGATCAAACTCAGGACCTTGCGCTTGCGAGGCAGGTGGCAGAATGCCTGAGCTAAATCCCTGGCCTGAATATCCTCAAGTAGAACACAGTTATTTTCCCCCTTAAAATAGTATCACTTAACAGTGACAATAGCCTTACACTCAAGTCTTTTAAAGGAGTCTTTCATATTATAGGAAATTTTTCTTCATTCAGTCAGTCACTAGATGGGGTCTTACATACTATGTTGCCCAGGCTGGCCTTGAACTCCTGCACTTAAGCAATTCCCTGCCCTAGCCTCCTGAGCAACTGGGACTACAGGGGCATACTACCACACCCAGACTCAATTTTGAAAAGGAGTAAAGAAAACATTCAGATTCTTTGTCTAGAACCAAAACTTGTTCAACAAGAATCCAAAGAATATTGCTTTTTGTATTCTTTAGTGAATAATTAGATTATATACTCTGGTCTGAGTTTTCATTTATAATGAGCATCACAGTTCAAATTTCTCTTGGAAAAAAATTGACATTAAGTAGAAATTGTGGATTTTTTTCCTTTGTCTCTCTCTTTTTTTTTTTCTTCAGTGCTGGGGATCAAACCCAAGACCTCATGAACAGTAGGCAAGGATTCTACTACAGAGATATTATATCCCCAGCCCCAAACTGTGAATTTTTAAAGTTTATCATTTGCTATTGATAAATAAAACACACAAAATTTGAAGAAAAAGGAAGAACCCATTCAAGGACAATTCTAGCTTTCCTCCTGTGCCTTTTAGTCTTGCTTGTCAACTTGACTGGATTAAGAGGCTCTTGGAGAGATGACTGGGTGAGAAGGCATTAACTGCCCTCAGAGGATGAACCCATGGGTGAGTTTCTAACTGAATGGGATATAAGGAGATGGGGACTTCTTGGAGGAAGTGTGTCATGGGAATGTGACCTTGGAGACAATATCTAGTCCCTGCCCCTTCCATTTCTGGCTTCTTCCCCTGCTCCTCGTTGGAAGACATCCTAGTTTTCCTCCACCATTCCCTCCCATCATGATGTTTCTACCTTGGAACCAGTGGACCATGAACTGAAACCCCCAAAACCATGAGCCACAGTAAGTCCTTCCTCCTTTAAGTTTCTGGTGCCAGGTGTTTTGTTCCTGCATTCGGAAAGCTGATCAATATTCCTCCTTTATTTAAGAAATAGCCTCAGAATGTTAAGAAGATTTTGAGATTTCATAGGAATATGCATTTCCAGCCTGGTCATTTGCCTTTCTTTAACCTAAACCTGTTTTTGAAAAAGGCCCCTGTGAGTTATGAATTGTATATAACATGTCCTTTTCAAATTGGCCCTTTTGGTCTGGGAATTACAAACATTAAAAAAAAAAAGTCTCTGCTAGGCATGGTGGGCAACCTGTAATCCCAGCATTCAGGAAGATTTAGGCAGCAGGATCACAAGTTTAAGCCCAGCGTCCTTGTCTCAAGACATTAAACAAAAGGGCTGGAGCTGGGCGTGGTGGCTCATGCCTAGAATCCCAGCACTCGGGAGGCTGAGGCAGGAGGATTGCTGTGAGTTTGAGTCTAACCTGGGCTACATAGTGAGTTCCAGGTCAGTCTCAACTATGTAGTGAGACCCTGTTTCAAAAAAAAAAAAAAAAGAAATGAAATCACAATGGACACTGCTGAAATAAAAAAGATTATTAACAACTATTTGCAAATTTGCACACCAATAAATTGGAGAATTCAGAAGAAAGGGATAGATTCCTAGATAAATGAATTATCAAAACTGAATCCAGAAGGGTCAGCGACCATGATAGAAGCCATTGAAGGCCCAACATGAGAAAGAAATGGAAAAAATAAACATCCAACATAGGAAAGAAATGGAATCCATAAAACAGATTCAAATAGATATCCAGGAGATTAAACACTCCATAGAAAGTGTACACAACAGAATAAAAGAATGCGAAGATAGACTCTCAGATATAGAAGATAAGATTGCAGTCAGTGACCATGAAAAGAGAGGTCTCTTAAAAACAGTAAGAGATCATGAGAAGTCAATCCGACAACTCCTAGATGATGCAAAGAAGAATAACATAAGACTGATAGGAATCCATGAAGTAGCAGGAGAAAATACAAAGGACTTTAAAAAGCTGTTCGCAGAATTAATGACAGAAAACTTCCCAAACAGAGGGGAAGAATTTGACATTCAGATAACTGAGGCATATAGGACCCCACCTAGCTACAATAAAAAAAAATCTACACCTA